CATGTCTTAAACATAGACGAATCCTACTATTGTTTCTAGTCTCCAGCTCAGTGCTGAAATCGTGTTCTCTTATGTCTTTCCTCTTTCCTCTTCTCTTGTCCTTTTCTTCCCTACCTTCCCATCTTTAAAGTTCCATATACTTTTATGATTCTAGATCCCTCAGAATTAGAAGGGTCATTTTCTTTGGCCAGTCTGCAATAGTAATTGGAGACTATCCTCAGTCACTCAGATTATTCCAGTTTCACATTTAATATACCCCAAAGCTTTGGACAAACATGTGTATAGCTCCAGCTCACTCCTTCCCTACTATGCTTCCATGCAGGTATATGCAGTACTATAGCTTCCCATTCATGCTCTAGAAAAAGGTTCTAGCCTGCTTCTTCATGGGTGGCCCTCCTGTCAGCACAGTTGCATATAGCTGCTCTAATTGCTCCTTTCTTTTTCTTTTACTTTTTTTCAAGAGAGATTTTTGCTATAGGGTGCATACACTCACTAGAGAGACAGAAAGCAAGAAATCATTCACTCAGGGGGAATGGCCATGCCGCAGTTCCTTCTCCTCTCTTCTCTTGGGATTTTGGGCATACACACACAGGCATCCAGTGTGAGTTTGAAGCTGCTGGATTTGGGACTCAAACCACAGTTTACTCCATGGGAGTCCATCGATGTAACCATTATGCCATCTGCTGGTCCCTCTAATTGCTTTTTACTTCCCTCCTTGTCCTGTGAACTCTCATCTTTAATGCAGAAGATCACAGATAACTTCTTGCCTATACATTGAGAAAACAGTAATTTCCAGGCTGCATGCTGGCCAGAGAGGGCTTCCTAGCAGCATGCGAACCAGGAATTTAGATACACACTTCATTCAAAGACATACTTTAGCTTAAAGCAGTGTTGGCTACAGTTTGGACTTTAATCTTTTCTTCTCTTTGAGTATGGGTTACATTGCCTGGAATCATAGGAAGCACTATCCAGTTTTGCTTGAGAACATTAGAGGAATTTCCCAGAAGGGATGACATTTCTTAAGTGTTTTTTCCCACGCAAAGACTCACAGCTTGTGAGCTTGAAATACACTAATGTGCTCTTTCAAATACATATCAATTAAATATCCAGTTTAGTACTTTTCTAGTTAAAGTGATAATGTGTCAGTTTATTCTAGTTTTCATACCTGTATGATCCTTTGAATCACATCTGTAAGACCATCAGCCAGAAGGAAGAAACAGCAAATTAACCCATATGGAAGACTGAATCTTCTTTCTTTTTTTTTTTTTTCTTTTGGAGAGGTTTTTGCTATAGGGCGCTCTTCAGAAAGACAGATAGACAGAAAGTGAGAAATCACCCTCCAAGGGGATGGCCACACTGCAATCCCTTCTCCTCCATTTTCTTCTTGGGATCCTGGACACACATGCACATGCGCTTAGCCTGAGTTTAAGCCAAGGGTCCAGGACTCAAACCACAGTCGACTACATGAGAGTCCAGCAACATAGCCATTATACCAACTGCTGGTCCCTGGAAGATTGAATCTTATTAATGGTTCTGGGAACTCATCAATGGAAGGAAAGAACGACATACTCCTTGCTTCTAGTAACAACAAATAAGGCAGTGGACAATGAGTTTCTAGACATCATTGGTGAAAAAGTATTGCCAATATAGTGACTGGCAATGATGCAGTAATTCCCTGATCAAATGCCATCTTCTTCATCAGCCTCCTCCTCCCCACCCCATGAATTGCCTAGCTATTAGAAGCGTGGTTCACAGAAGAGCGCTCCCAAACAAAATACAATGGCTGTATTAGCCACAAGTCCCAAAGTTCTCTGTCAAAGAGTCTAAATCAAGCACTTACATACTGTGGGCCAATAGATCTCAATCATCTGAGTGACTAGATATAAATTCACCTACAATGCAGAGAGTAGAGGAAAACAGTATTTCTCTGACCTCTCACTTTGCTTTTATCTTATCCTATGTATGTATTATTAGGTCACTGGAAAAGTTGTGATGCATTCTTGCATAGAAAAAAAAAAACAAGAAAAATATGTCATGACTTTTCCAACAACCTATAATAGTATACCTATTAAACTTTTTTTCATCCCAGTCGCAGTGGCACACTATGCTCAGATGATGTGATCCATAGCCTGGGACTATACAGGAGGCCCAAGTTTGATTCTTGGTCTATCCTTAAAGTAGGGTGCAGTGCTGTGGGCCTGTCATTGCAGCCACCTGGGAAGACTAAAGCAGAAGATTGCAAGTTCAAGGCTGACCTGAGAAACATTAGTAATACCCTGTCTAAAACAGAGCTAGGTGTGGTGATGCATACCTGTAGTCCCAGCTGAGATGCTAAAGCAGGAGGATTGTGAAGTAGTCAGATCATGTCTTAAAAAGAAAAAAAAAAAAAAAAGAAAATCCACTGCTTCTTCAAATCATCTCCCCTCTAATCAACCACTTGCTCTAAAAGAAAGAAAACAGGAAATATTGAATACACAATTGTTCCTACACTTGGCCTAACAAAGCTACTATTTGTTGAACGTGGGCTGTGTGCCACTGTCTCAGGTATTTTTACCTGTGATATCTAATGTAACCTTATTCTTATGACACTCCATGGAATGCGCTTGTGATTCTAATTTATAAATGAGAAAAACTGATGCTCAGAAAGTCAAAGAGGGCCTACACAAGGTTGTGGGTGAAAACTGTTTTGGAATATCTTGTGAAGACACAATCTGAGAGCTTTGAAAGACCTTCTTTCTCTTCCTGGGTATCCAGTCACTTTTTTTCCCACCATCCTCTGTACATGTCCAGGTCGTGCTCTGGGTGGAACTCTTTCCAGTAGTGATTTTGCTCTTGACAGTGGAAGTGTTTTTCTTGATCACTTCTAATGGTGCTTTTTTTTTTTTTTTTTTTTGGGTTTGCTTAAGTGTTTTTTGTTATCTCTTTTAATGGTTTTTTTTTTTTTTTTTTCTTTTGGAGTTGCATTCCTTTATTTTAAAAATGCACTTTTAAATAAAAGCACTGGAATTGCTATTCTTGCTGTCACTGATAGAAACTTCGTTAATACCTAATTTGTGTTATAAATGAAAGTACATAGAGGATAAATAGAGAGGTCATTGATCTTTCTTTCATTTTTTTAATTAATTTATTTATTTACATTTAATCATATCTTTATACCATAAAGAAGTGATTTATTTTATTTTAATTTCTTTTATACGTTCAATCACTACATGTCACTCAGCTTATACAGTCAGTTTTCCAACATGAATACATTTCTCACTGGTCCAGCTGGGATACTATACACATTACCATCAACAGATAATAACCATCTCTGTGTCCCATAAATGTCTTGCCTTTCTATTTTTCTCCTTAATGTCTTTCCTCAGACTCTCTTCCTTCTCCCACCCTCTTCCCACACCATATCCAGTATCTATAACCATCCTCTAATCTTTCGGATTCCACCATAGAGTCCTGACCGCATGTGTTCGCCAGAAAGACAGAGAGGGAAAGCGAGAAATCACCCCCCCAGGGGGGATGGCCACACCGCAATCCCTTCTCCTCCGTTCTCCTCTCGTGATCTTGGGCACGCACGCACACACACCCGGCATAAGTTTTAAGCCACCGGGTCCGGGATTCGAACCGTGGTTAATTACATGGGAGTTCAGCGACATAGCCATTACGCTAACTGCTGGTCCCAGACATTTTTTTTTCTGAAAATTTTTTGAAACTTAATTTACATTCATTCCCTAAGCATAGTCAGTTTTGGCCAAAGGGTAAATCTCACCAGAGAGACAGAGAGAAACAGGGAGAGGGAAAGTGAGAATTCACCCCCTAGAAGGATGACCATGTTACAGTCTCTTCTCCTTCACTCCCCTCCTGGGATTTTGGGCACACACACACACACACACACACACGAGCTAGGTAGGATTTTCAATCCACCAGATCCGAGATCAAAACACAGCACTGCTTTTTTTTTTTTTTTTCTTTTGAGAGGTTTTTGCTATAGGGCACGTGCTCTCGCCAGAAAGACAGAGACAGACAGAAAGACAGAAAGTGAGAAATCACCCCCCCCCGGGGGGCGGGGGGGATGGCCACACCGCAATCCCTTCTCCTTTATTCTCCTCTTGGGATCTTGGGCATGCACACATACGTGCCCAGTGTGAGTTTAAGTCACCAGATCCAAGACTCGAACTGCAGTCAACTACATGGGAGTCCAGTGACATAGCCATTACGCTAACTACTGGTCCCATCTTTGCTCTTTTTTGAAAAGCAAATTTTTATTTCAATTAATCAACATTTTAATTATAATTAGAAATTTTTGCTTTTGAGTATTTTTAAAGTATGTTTCTGCCATGTTCCCTAAAGAATAAAACATTAAAAGCAGAGAGGTTTGTTTGCTCAATTTTTCCATCATTAAACCCATCATATTTTTGGGGGGAGGGGATATTCCATGAAATCATGCAAGTCAGAGATCTTATGTTTCTTTGTAACTCCAATTTCTGACATATAGTTGACCATCAATGGAAGTGTGTTTGCTAGACTGGTGATAAATAGTGAAATGATCAGTAACCTCAGTATATTTAATTTAACTGAAAAATGACAAAAGAAACAGAGTTGATGCATAGCTGATTTTCATGTAGGTCATTGATTATGAAGAGTTTTGTGGTTTTTTTTAATGAAGATTATGGTTGGATTTCCAAGAAAACATGGCTATGACTATAAATTAAGTGAAAGAGAAATGTAACCTGAATATTAAGAAATATTTCCAGTGAATGAAGCTGGGACAAAATCAGGCAGAAGAGTCTCAGGGCAAGTGGTAGGGGAAATTAACAGCACACATCTCCCTTAGAGCTATGGTAGGGATAAACTCTGTCTTTGGCAGGATGATAAGTGAGCCTTTCTCTCTAGTTTCATTGATTCTCTTTCTTACACAGGTATACACTCACAGCTTCCCACCTATCTAGACAAAATTTATATGCGTGTTCAATTTTTTGATAATCATTTTCTCTTTTTTTTCCCAGAAAATACTGTTTTTAGAGCATCTCCAGCCCCATCAGAAATGTCTTCCTTAAGTGGGAAAGTCCAAACTGTTTTGGGCCTTATAGAGCCAAGCAAACTGGGCCGCACCTTGACCCACGAACATCTGACAATGACCTTTGACTACTTCTACTACCCGCCTCCTCCATGCCATGAAGCTATCTCAAAGGAACCTATCATGATGAAGAATTTATTTTGGATTCAGAAAAACCCTTATTCCCATAAAGAGAATCTTTATTTAAATCAGGAGACAGAAGCCATAAAGGAAGAACTGTTGTATTTTAAAGCTAAGGGTGGAGGGGCTTTAGTGGAGAACACAACTTCTGGGATTAGCCGAGATGTGAAGACCTTGAAATGGCTTGCTGAAGAGACTGGAGTCCATATCATAGCTGGAGCTGGATTTTATGTGGATGCAACTCACTCGTCAGAGACCAGAGCCATGTCAGTGGAGCAGGTAAAAAGCCCAGAGTTCATTGATAATATTTGTGTATAAATTTAGCATAGTTAGAACCTTAGAAATGCCATTGGCACAGAGGTACCTGGGCACATTACAGAAAATTGCTAAGTAGCAAAGACATGTACCAACTGGAACCCAAAGAAGTAACATTTTATTTCATACAGAAAAATCTACCAAAGAAGATTTTATGCATCTGTCATTGGAAAACTAGCTCATTAATACTTACATTTGAATGTGTCCTATCAGGGCTTGGTAGTGGCACCTCAGTCTATTTGTAAATCTCACTTTTCCATGATAAGATTCAGTTATGTAACTACCTTTTTTACCCTGGATTTTATAATAACCAGCAATAAAAATTCACAGTAGGGTGAAACTTGGCAGGCAGAGATGTGGCACATTTGCAAATATGTTTCTTCTCTTTTACAAAACAAGAGGGGTGGAAGAAAATCCCCCTGTTTTTATCATAATATGATCTGAAACAAGAATGGGCTGAAGAAAGCAAACCTTTTGGTGACAAACAGAACAAGCTGCAGGTCTTCTTTACATGTGGACACACTCTCTTTCTAAACATACTACCTGTATGTGTTCGTGCATATCAGTCATGCGTCACTGGACAGTGGTGATACTTTTTCTGAGAAATGTGTATTGTTAGGTGATTTAGTCATTGTGCACTTACACACGTTACCTATACAGTAGAACCTATGACATGCCTGGGCCATATAGTATAACCTATTATAATCTTATGTATCTGTGGCCCATCATTGACCAAAAGAGCATTATGTAGTGTGTGTCTGCATGCACATGTTTATTTGTGTCTTCTATTGCCTGCTTGATTGACACAGAATGTCAACTGCAGTCTTTACAAAGAAAAGGTCAGTTAATTTTGTTTGTTTGTTTATTAGAGATTTTTGCTATAGAGCACATGCACTCGCTGGAAAGATTAGGAAAGACAGATAGAAAGCAAGAAATCACCCCTGGGGAAGGGGGCGCAGGGGGAAGGGGGGAGGTGGTGGAGGGGGGATACAGTCAGTTTTCCAACATGAATACATTTCTCACTGGTCCAGCTGGGATACTATACACATTACCATCAACAGATAATAACCATCTCTGTGTCCCATAAATGTCTTGCCTTTCTATTTTTCTCCTTAATGTCTTTCCTCAGACTCTCTTCCTTCTCCCACCCTCTTCCCACACCATATCCAGTATCTATAACCATCCTCTAATCTTTCGGATTCCACCATAGAGTCCTGACAGTTGGTTTATATTAAGTGGAGACATACAATCTCTCTCTTTCATAGCCTGGCTTGCTTTACTCAACAGTAAATCTTCCATACCCATCCACTTTCTATCAAAAGCCAGGGTCTTGTTTTGTTTTTTTGGGTTTTTGTTTGTTTGTTTTTTTATGACTGAGTAGTATTCCATAGAGTCTATGCGCCACACTTTTCAATCTATTCTTCTGTTTGTGGACATTTGGGTTGGTCCCAGGTCTTAGCAATTGTGAAAAATGCCACAATAAACATAGATGTGCAAGCACTTTTCCGACTAAGCATTCTCCGATCCTTTGGGTAGATACCCAGGAATGGGATTGCTAAATCATATGGTAGTTCTATTTGTAGATCTTTGAGGAACCTCCACATTGTTCTCCACAGTGACTGGACCAATTTACATCCCCACCAGCAGCATAGGAGAGTTCCCCTTTCACCACATTCCTACACTCCCCCGCCCCCAGCACTTAACATTTTTTCTTTAATTTTTGTCATTTTGCCTGGGATTAGGTGGTATCTTGCTGGGACTGATTCTGCCAAACCTGTTTTTTTGGAAGGCCTTGACCTCAAACCAGCCTCAGGTTTATTCTTTTATAGGGCAGAAAATAGGGGAAGAGGAACTGGAATGCAAAGCCATTTGTTTTCAGATGTTAATCAGCTGATGATGCAAAAATGACTGGTGCCATTTGGTTTCTTCTGATCTTTTGGGGCAAGATCTAAATAACACATATGGTTTCTTTAGAAAGATACTATTTTGCAGTGTGACAGCTAGCATATTTGTATGTTAATGCTTTCATTGATATATAAATAAAACTCACAAACCGTGTTCCTATATATCTCTGAAGGTCACCATGTTTGTTCAAAATGGCTACTCTCCACAGTTATCTCATTATGGTTTTGATCTGCACCTTTCTTATGATGAGGGATGATGAGTATTTCTTCATATGCCTTTTGACTATTCATATGTTTTCTTTAGAGAGTTGTTTTTTCAGCTCATTTTCCCATCATTTAATTGGATTGATCATTTTTTGGGGGGTAAGCCACTTGAGTTCCCTGTGTATTCTGGTTATCAGTCCTTTATCTGAAGCATAGTTTACAAAAATATTCTCCCATTCCAAGAGTTGTCAATTCACTAATTACTGTATCTTTTGCTGTGCAGAAACTTCTTAATTTGATGTAATTCCACTTGTCTATTTTGGGGATTATTGACTGTGCTTTGGGGGTCTTATTTAAGAAGTCTTTGCTTATACGAATGTCTCCCAAAGGTTCCCCAGTGTTTTCCACCAGTAGCTTTATAGTTTGAGGTCTTAGGTTTAGATCTTTGATCCATTTTGAATTGATTTTTGTCAATGGTGAGAGGTAGGGGTTCAGATTCATCTTTCTGCAGGTGATATCCAGCTTTTCCAGCACCATTTCCTAAAGAGGTTTTCCTTTTCCCACTAGATTGACCTGTACCTTTTGTCAAAAATCAATTGGCTGTATGTTTTGGGTTTTTTTTCTGGGGTCTCTATCCTGTTCCATTGGTCTCCATATGTATTTTTGTGCCAGTACCATGCTGTTTTGGTTATCACAGCTTTGTCATATATTTCGGGTTTAGGGAGTGAGATGCCTTCCACTCCACTCTTATTACACAGGATGGCTTTGGCAATACAGGGTATTTTGTGATTCCAGACAAATTCTATGATTGTCTTTTCTATATCTGTGAAGAATGTCTCTGGTACTTTGATTGGCATTACATTAAATATATAGGTGAATTTAGGTAGAATTGCCATTTTGATTATATTAATTCTTGAGTTTTAAGCCACCAAATCTAGGACTTGAACCACAGTAGACTACTTGGGAGTTCAGCAATGTAACCATTACGCCCTCTGCTGGTACCAGTCAGTTAATTTTTATAATACTTTTTATTTTAAATTTTATTGGTATTATTTTCTGGTTAAAACTTTACTTTTTAAGTATATTTATGTTATTTGAAGACTGATGATGACAAAGATTAATTACTGGATTGTCAAAAAAGTCATGACACATTTTTTAATAGAAAAACATGGAAAAATATGTCATGCTATGAAGTGTCTATGCTGTATGGGACAAAGGACTGAATAAATTAAAAAATTGAAGAAATACTTTTTATAGTTGATACAGATTCACTTGCAGTTTTTCTGTGTTCTAGATATTCCTCAGGCTAAATTATAGATTTTTTTTCCCTCAGTTGAAATTACTCTCATTAAGTCATTTTCCCCCTACAGTTTTCTAAAACAGTGAATTTGTTGTTAAAAATAATAATAATATCAAATATCAAATCTTGGATTAAGAATAACATTTTAGATTTGCCATTTGGCCATAAAAATGCCTTTCCTATTTTTCCAATATTAATTGAATGAATGTTGAATTTTTTTTTTAAGAGAATGGGTGGCTAAATAAATACATTCATTCTGCAGTGACTATTTTGACTAATTGACAATCTATAAAGTATGCTCACTCTGATTCTTAGCTTACAGATGTCCTTATTAATGAAATTCTCCATGGAGCCGACGGAACTACTATCAAGTGTGGTGTTATTGGAGAAGTTGGCTGCTCCTGGCCTTTGACTGAGAGTGAAAAAAAGGTTCTTCAGGCAACAGCTCATGCCCAGGCTCAGCTTGGCTGTCCTGTTATCATCCATCCTGGACGGGATCCAAGGGCACCATTTCAGATCATCCAAGTATTACAAGAAGCAGGTGCAGACATCTCCAAAACAGTCATGTCACACCTTGATAGGTAAGCTGGCTATACGTCAAATGTAACAAGTTATCATATGATTAATGGACAATCAGATTTTAAAAATCCAATGAAGCCATATTAATAAAATACTAATCACCTAGAGAACTCCATTAACTACACGGAAGCTGATGTTTATAGTTTTACAACTGAAATGAATGAAAGTCAATCGCTGCCTTTGTAGTGTCCCTATTTTATGTCAGAGAGCATCCTAGGTATTTTGTATAAGTCATTTCCTTTAGTTCATCCTTTATAACTCTTTATAAGAAATGTTGCTGACTACTTTCCTCCTTTGTGCCATCTTGTATCACAGTAGCTACCAGTTCTGATTGTTCAATATTTGCCATAGTTGGAATAATAAATTTATCTGCAAGTATAAAGGGAAGAAGAGTTAATGATCTCAAGGCCATAAGATGGTATAGTGGTTAAGGTGCTGGACTCCCACATGGTCGACCGTGGTTCAAGTTCTGGACCCAGTGGCTTGAAATTCACACCAGGCACATGTGTGTATGTATCAAAAATCCCAAGAGCAGAATAGAGTAGAAGGGACTGTGGCATGGCCACCCTGCCTCCGCCCTGGAGGGGTGATTTCTTGCTTTCTGTATCTGTCTCTTATAAATGTTCATGTTTGTATCACTTGGGTCACCTGCTATGGTTTGAATCATTTGAATTTTGGAAAGTATAATTATAAAAAAATAATAGCAGGGGTTGGCCCCATAACCTAGTGTTAAAGGATCCAGTTTCCAAATGGCTGACCACAGTTCAAATCTGGGACCCAGTGGCTTGAACAACATGTCAGATGCATGTGCATGCGTACCCCAAATCCCGTAGAGAAATGGGATAGTGAAATGGAGAAGGGGTTGCAGTGTGTCCACACACCGTTAGGAGGTGATTTCTCTCTCTTTCTTTTTCTCTTTCTCTGTCGCTCCAGTGATTGCATTCACCCTCAGGCAATTAAAAATAATAGTCACAATAACTAGGATTTGTTTGGTGATATTATGTATTAGTTTCCTATGGCTGCTGTAACAAATTATAATAAACTTTGTACCCTAAACACACATGCAAAAAAACCTATTCTCTTACAGTTCTGGAGGCCAGAGGTCTGTAATCAAGGTGTTGGCAGGGCTGGCTTCCTCTAAAGGCTGTAGAGAAGAATCCTTCTTTTCCTCTTTTCTTGCCTGGTATATCCAGGAATTCCTGGGCCTGTGTTTGCATAACTATGTCATAGTTTCTGCCTCTACCTTCACAGCCTTCTCTTCTCTATGTCTTCTCTTTTGCTCCCTATAAAACATTCATGATAGAATTTAGGACCTACCCGGATTAACAAGACTTGTCTTGATGTCATCCTGCAATGGGAACCCTGGCTCTACCACCAACTTTTTCCACCTACAACACTGGTGTGGGAGAGAAAAGCGAAGCTAACAGTGGCTCAAGATCCAGCCATGAGGCAAGTGCAGATAGGTGGCCTAGTGGTATTAAAGATAATCAAACATTATAAGAAAGGAAGACAAGGCACTGAGATTAATCAATAAGTGCTTCTGGTCTGGTTGTAGATCAACTTGATATTAGCACTGCTTTCCATTATCCCAACACACAGATGATGACACTAGCTTTGTTGAAATCTAACATTAGACAAAAATGATGCAGAGCCTTCACCACCTGAACACCAATCATCTCCACGTAGGCTGATGCCAACCCACATGCTGTGGCTTCTTGGTCACCCAAGTCTCCTGGTTTCTTAGTTCAGGTACTAACATGTCATTGAAGAATCTGTCATTCTTACTTAGTATCCCATAAAAACTGCCCAAGGGTCTGTCTCTCTTGCTAAAGACATACAGATTGACTCCTAAACTGATGGAATTTTGTAAAGAGGGAAACTTTTCTCTGAAAGCTCATAAAAGCAGATATTACCTTTGAACCTGTATTTGAAGAAGTGCCAATTGTAATTATCTGATCAACATCCTGATGTGGGAGCTCAAGGAGAAGTCAGCTAGCTGTAGCAGACAAATGTGAATTGTTCAGTCTTGCTAGCATCAGTTATTTGTGAAAGAATCTACAGTTGATGATGGATGGAATAGATGAACTGCACCAATAGTTAAATGTAGCACACATGGGAGGAATACTAGTAAACCATAGCAGCAGAAACACCGTCTGCAGCATCACCAGCAGGAAATACATAGCACCAGGTCAAAGAGAAGCCTCACTCCCTAAGGAGGACCTGTCCAGACTCTTTGAGCCACCCTAGACACCTGCCTGGATGGACTGACTGCTCATTGCAGGTCAGATTAACACTACCAGAATGGTAAGAACTTCACTGCTCCAAACTTAGGCAAACCATTCATGGCCCAGGCTCTTGAAGAATACAACCAAGAAAAGAAAATTTCCAGAAAAGGAGTTAATATGGACTCTTAAAATCACATCAGAGATCAGCAGATGATGTAATGGTTACATCACTGGACACTCACATGGCCGACTGCAGTTTGAGTGCTGGACCCAGTGGCTTGAAACCCACACTGGGCACATGTGCGTGGGTGCCCAAAATCCCGAGAGGAGAATGGAGGAGAAGGGACTGCAGCATGGCCATTCTTCCTGGGTAGATGACTTCTCACTTTCTGTCTCTCTCTCTCTCTGTTTCTTTGGCAAGTACAAGCACCCTGTAGCAAAAATATCTCTTAAAATATTTTTTTTAAATCACATTAGGGCAACTCATGAAAGATGTATTTGCATATTGAATACCACAGAGAATTCCTTTTATGTCATTACTATTTTGGGCTCTAATACTGTCTTTCTGGCCAATAATAAAATAAGACAAAATATTGCAGGCAAAACATGATCTCGAGATCCTTAATTTAATTATATCTGCAAAGATTCTTTTTCCAAATAAAGTCTACTCAGAGGTCCTAAGGGATAGAACCTGGATATATTTTTGGGAAGGAGGTATATCACTTAAGCCCCCACAGATTGTATTAGATATATAGGGACCAGCAAAATAAATGACTGTGTAAGTAGCTATCAGCTGTTAATTTTATGAGTAAGGCTAACAGTGTTGCTAAACTAGTCATTAGCCTTTAGGTTGACTATATTAAGGAACTAATATAGTATCAATGAAACAAATAATACATTTGTTACTTCTGTCTTGTTTATTGGGATGAAACCATATTAACATATCAATAAATCATGATCAAGCCTTACCCCCAGCTGTTTAATAAACTAATGGTCTTACAAAATGTATTAACAAAATATTTCTATTAAATAGAAATACTGTAAAGTCTTATGCAGAAAAAATAAACAAGTTATAGTTGTAACAGAACAGAGAAAGTGAAGTTTCTCTATGTAGTTCGAGTCCTGGGTTTGGCAACTTGTAAACACGTGCCAGGCATGTGTGAGTTTGTGCCCAAAATCTTGAAAAAAGGGAGCGATGAAGGAGAAGGGATCATGGTGTGGCCAATCCTGGGAAAGGAGTCAGGTGCCTTTTCCTCTCCCTCTTTGGCAAGAGCATGTGCCCTCCAGTTAAAAAAAAAAAAAAAAAAAAAAAGGAGGAAGTAAAAAAGATCAAGATCAATACTTAGTTGTCTTCAGTAATTTTCTGGTTGTACTGATAAAATAGAGGGGTGCTTTTAGAGACTAGCCATAGAGGCAGTGCATGAAAATGTGTAGTCTAGAATTTTGGGACCCAGAGAAACTTTTAAATCCTGACTCCACCATTTCTCATGATATCTTGCATAGCTGCATTTACATTTTTAAAAACAATTTTTATTTTAATGTCTGCTTTATACTATAGCTGTACATCTTTGTGGAATACAATACAGTTATTCAAAGCATAGGTACAATGTATAATAATCAGCTCAAGAAAATAAACATATTTGTCGTATCCAACATTTATTGTTTAGTTTGAGTTGCCCACATCTGAAATTTGCTCTACCACTTATTTGGAAATATATAGTAAACTGCTGCTAATGTTCTTTACGGTGCTATACTATTCTATAACCACCCCCCTCCCCTTGTTTACACGTGATCTTGTATCTTCTCATCTTGTATTTGATGTTACTTTTATGATATAGAATATATATATATATATGTATAGCGCATTCAATAAGTATGATATGTTTTAAACCTTATAAATGATACCATACATACAAAAGGATATAGCCCTAATTATCTTTTTTTTTATTGCAAGAGGACGAGAGAGAAAGAAACTCCCTAATGGGTCCAAATTGCATCACAATACTTTTCCTCTATCCTACCATCCCATCAGAATGGTGGACAAGCATACAACATGTTTTTCAAGCCACCAGACCCAGAATTTGAATTGCCGTCAGCCATATGGGATACAGCTCCCTTAATTACTGTACTACTGGTCTCACTCCCAAATATATACTTCTCAATTTCATGAATGATTCTTAGATTCTTGAAAACAGTGTTCTGCAGGTATTATGTAAGTGCTCTATATATGTCTATTGAATTACAGTTGTTAATCATGTTATTCAAATATTCGATATTTCTACTATTTTTTAACTGTTCACTTTGTTTATTACTAAGAGAAATATATTAAAGTCTTTTATGGTAGATTTTTCATTTCTTCTTGTACATATTTCAACTTTTGCTTTATGTATTTTGAAGCTATATTATTGTTTACATATAAATTGTTGTCACTTCCTAAATCCTATATAAACACATACTGAGCTACTTTTATATCTAGAAATATCTGATATATGTAATGTCTGATATTAATGTAACTATTTATTTTTGCATTGGTCTCAAACTTCATTTTTGCCCAAATATTACCCTCCACCTTTCAGGGTCTTCATATCCTAAATGTGTCTTCTATAAAAGTATATGGTTAGTTTTGGGGTTTACCCAGTCAGACATTCTCTGTCTTTTACATTAAGTTAGTTTATTTACATTGACTGTGTTTACTAATATGCTTGTTCGATTTTTTTAGTCATAGTTATTGTTATCTCTTCTTGATTTCTTTTTGATTATTTCTCCTTCTCATTCTA